CTTTCCTTGAACACCAGAGCCTCTAGATCACAATGCCAGCAGTCACTGGAGGAGTTCAAACTGGCCTGGACCAACAGCTCAAGGGAAACCATCAGGTTGGGCTGAGTCTGCCCTTCACTGACCTTGTGCAGAGACTCAGGGTAGCACATTAGGGGAGCAGCCAAGGGGAGGACTGTGGTGTGCTGACAGAGCCACACACAAAGTCACAGTGCAGAATCTCAGAAACTCAGCAGTCACTGTCACTCTCTGCCCCAGGCCCCTCTCTTCAGCCCATTCACACCGCTTCCAAAACACCATGTTTTTCATTCCATCTCCATTTCACTGATGCTCAGAACATTTCGTCCATTTAGCTCTCCCCAAACCACTTCACCACTGCTTCCTGAGCCTATGAAGTACCCACTGGCCATATTCCTGACTGTTCCTACAAATTCCCCCCTCTCTTACCCTCATGCTCAGCCAACGCAGCTGTCCTTGCAGCTCAGGGCCCCAGGAATCCACCAGCACTTGCTCTGTAAAAACAGCAGCTCACCAGGGAAGGAACTGGCAAACTTTATCAGGAATGAGAGAGCCAACAATAACCCACACTGCACTCTATTCTCAGCTCTGTTTGGAGCAATTTCATCATCGGTGCATATTCACATGCAGCTCAAGAGATGCTTGATATTTTATAGCTGTGAATTCCAGGTGCCGGATATCCTGTGAGGGCTGTCTCCCACCTGACAGACAGACATCACTCCCCAGAAGGATGTGGGGACTGTGGCATATGCCCGCCTCCTCCTCTGTTGTGCACAGAGCCTGGACTCCCATCCTGTTCAAATGCAAAGGAGCTGCTGGCACATGCCAGAAGGGCAAGAAGTCCTTCTAGAGGTTTGACATTGTACAGAGAGGTCTAATCGTCAGCTCTGCTTCCTTGAGGAGGCTTCCCAGCAGGCAGGAAGGGGTTTTGCCTTGAGGGCACAGATCTAGTGACTGTCTCCTGGCAGCTTTCCTCACCTGCAGGTCAGGTTTGGATTGTCTGTGTAGCACAGTCAGGCTTTCATTTCAATCAGCTGTCTCATTCACACACACTCTCTGCTTTAAAATAACAAGCCGTTGTTTCTGCAGACAGAGAATCACACATGACATCCCAATCCTCCAAGAAAAGCCCTGTTCTAGGAGCTATGCATCCCAAGGGTAACAGAGAGAAGGGGGGAAGGGATTTCTGAAGATGGGGCAGTAGTCTATGGGGGAAGGATAGCTGGGAGAGAGATGACAACCTTAGCTAACAAGCCCCCGGAAAAGTGCTGAGGAGAAAAATCCAAGGGCAGCGTAGTGAGGAGACAGGCACCTGGGGGAGTGCAAGTCAGCAGTGCAAAACTGGTGGACAAGAAAGGAACAACAAAGAAACTTTTAGCCAAAAGGACAAAGCAGTTTCCTGATGCAGGGAGTGGGGGGAATGCCAGCATTTCTCATCCCAACAGGAAACAGCCCTTTGTAGCTGCATGCCAGAAAGAGACACAGGAGCAGAGTAAAGCCAAATGAAATACCCAAGCAAAGTCGAAGCAGAGACTCTACTGCCCCGCTGGAGAAAGGAGTACCGGGAGGGGAAAGCCCTTCAATGTGAACTTGGTTGTTCTGTCTTCCCTCCCACCTCATGACAAAGAATAGTCTGCACCTGGGAGAAGCTCTTGGCTGCTACAGAAAAGGAGCAGCGCTCTGCAGATAACACTTTTTAAATTCCACTGATAGTCTCACATCTCCCATCTCATGCAGTTTCCCTGCCACATAGAGCTCAGTCACTGCTGCCCATTTCCCCTGTTAACATGGATAGAAAATTGAGCAATTACCCTTAAACTCCTCTCTGTCAGATTGCCCAGATTGCTACACACACAGCATTAAGCCCCCAATTGCCCCTGGCCAAAAGTAACTCAACTAGGCCTGTCCTTTAGGAATTAAACACTCTTGTGTTGCTTGTGAAGGTTTATTATTCTTCAAGTTGTGATGCATTAAATCCTGCTAAAGCAGGTTTCCCACCATGCAGAGGAGCTGCCCCCCCCCCCATGACAAGGTTCAGCTGGACACACATCAACCTAGCAAAGGTGCGTTATCCATTTGCTCTGCCTGTATACTAGCATGTACCAGTGTGTGTTCAGGAGGATGGGCACTAAGGTCACAGCAGGCGCTGTAGGAAACCCCAATATCCATCAACTAGACACTCCAGAGCTATTTCTGGAGAGACACTGCACTTTTTCAAAACAGTCTTTCCAGCCTGGAGTTTTACAGGAGCAAATGGTGCTTCTAGTCAAACACGTCTTTGCTTTCCTATAACTCAAAACTGGCTCCTCTTTAAAGTGGCTCTCTTGTCCTGGACTAGCCTCTATGAAGAAGAAATATGGATTAGAGAAAACGAATTCTGAGCACGACCTGAGTCAAGGTACTTCACTGCTAGTATTTCAATGGTTTGTATTGCGCAGTATGGATGACTTGCACCTTCTGGGTTTCCCTGCGCAACTGTAAGGAACGGCTGAAATTGCAGATAGTTCCACGCGTGTCCCTCTCTGGTCTACCCACTTACAATCGCCCATATTACTTCAGTCTTTCCACACAGCCTGAGAAGCAACTGTTCTTCTCTACCAAACTCCCATGGAGATGAGGAATCAGATGCTATTTCATGCACAGGGTGAATGGCCAGGAGCAGTGAGGGAATTCTACTTTTATTTCTGAAACTACAAGGCATAACAAGCCCAAAGGTCTCCACTTGGCTGCACAACCTTCTCTCCATTATCCACATGCCAGGCTGGGCTCTCTTGAGGCCCTATGCTTTTTTAACACTTTCTCCAGTGGACTCCGAATTCTGAGCCTCTGTGTGTTAGTGCTGTATAAATGATCACAACTGAGCACTTTTCAAGTACACAAGAATACCTTTTTAAGGGCATATAGTTTTGTCCTTCATTCTTCTAATGAAAAGGTTGGATGGGGGACAAACAATGTTAATGGAATGGTACAGCTTAGCTTTCTAATAGGTTAAAGGAAGGCGATCCAAATGTATTGGTTGACAGCAGCAATCATTACGCAACTGTGCCTGTTCATATTAAGGTGTACAAGCTAACACATTATGCAGCATAAAATAACCGTGACCCATCCTTGGGGATCCATACACCAGTGTCTTGATTTTTGTATGTTTAGAATCTGAGCTTTCTCTTACAGTTAAGGACACAAGCCCAAGCGCATTTTTGTGTGAAGTGGAGGCTGATAGGGCTCAACCTACTGCACAGCCACAGCGTGCTACTCCCTCCCTTCTACACTGGCCAGTTACTTGTATCTCTCTGTTTATTCAAAAAAGTAATCTTATTCAGGTTCTGGAGTTTGTTTATATGTCACTTCACTGCAATTGCTGAGCCCACATGGAAAACTCTCTCCCAGAATAGCTTGCTTAATCTCCCTGTAGAAATAGGACCACAAGCATGCAATGCACTGATCCATTTAGAGATTTTTCCATATGCAAATTACATCCACAACCCAGTGCATTTGACTGTACCAGAAACTGCCTGGGTAGGAACCATAATCAGATTAGTGGGATCTTTCTTCTAACACATAGATTTAATCCAAAGCTGACCTCTGGTTTGCAAACAATCCAAATTCAACTGTTAACCATAGGTTAGGCACAGATAAATAAGTGAAGTGTATTAGAACTTGCCATGTCTTCATACCGCATTCTGCATCAATTCTATTCTATATTTATTACCTGAGGTCTTGGAGCACTAAAAGTCACATGCTGCAAACATGTGACAAGCATTTTTATGCCTGGTTAGCAAAGACAGTTATTATACTCTGAATACAAGACCAAGGTTCAACAAGAAGGACAGCACGTATGCAAACAATCAAAGAGCTGTTCAGAACAGACTATCAGCCTCAGTGACACACACTGAAATTTAAGAAGCCCAAGAAACTTCCCAGGGGGAAAATTAAGTCTATTCTGAAGATGCCAATGCTATAAAGGTGCCACTTCTGGCAGTCATATGTCGCAATGCTTAAATCTGTCTGGAAGACCCAAATAAGTCTTCATTTAATCTCATTAACCATACTGATGTCTGATCCTTTGTGACTCCTGGTAATTCTTCTGATGCTTGGTGATATTTTACAGATGCAACTTTTTACACACTGTATAAAATTCTGAGCCCTTGAAAACTGAGGTAGCTCCTAGAGACTTTAATGAATTTCTATGCTCCCCATGGTTCTCTAGTGCTCATCTCGAAATTCATACTGTGGATTTTCCCTGAGATTTCTCATCCAGTCCTAGAAGAGCAGGTGATACACACTACAAGATATACATATACACTACAAGATATACATATATAAGGTGATATACACTATAAAGAAAACTAGTGCTAAATCAGGAGCCCAGTAGATTTCACAGCAGCCTGTACAGGGATGGGATTACCCACCAGTGCGTATGTTTAGCTTATCATCTATGATCTTGGGTTAGGACAAGCGGATTTTTTACATCAAGAATTCCCTCACGACAGAGACCCCAGGAGAGTTGTGCAGGCACTTGTCCTGATGGTAACAAGGCAAGGATGTTACCATAAAACATAAGAGCGGCTTTAAGTAGAGCATACTGTCACCAAAACTAGGGGGCAGCAGTGCTTTCTTTCCCTGCTCTTAACCTTTTATTGCTCTTTTAGCTCTCTTTTGGCTTCAGTCCACTATTCTCCATGTGGAGGTAATCCCAGAGAAGAGCGGATTAGACACTTTCCTTCTTCCCAAAGGTGCTTTATCATTCTGTGTTAATGAAGAGCCAGAGTTAGACTACAGGTTCACTTCCTCATCCTCCTCTCCATCTCTTCTGCTCTCTCTCCCTCATTCAGCAGCTGGGGAGACGTAAGCAGCTCCCACATTTGTTTACCCCCAGGGTGGTTCATTTCCTTGCAATTTCTTACAAAATGCCTCTGCTCACTTTACTGGAGAACCCCCAGACATGCATGAAGGCACTTCTTGCAGTCAAGTAGGTGATACCTTACCTCCTCCATCATCTGATGCCTCCAGGCTCTGCTGTCTGAGACGATGGCTGCAGCAAAACACAAGGAAGAAAGAATTCCAATTGCAAGCCCAGAAAAGCATCTTGTTGTGTCCCCTTCCTCCCCACAAGCCTCAAGGCCAGTCAAGGGGAGAGCTCCCAGCTACACTTAGCCTGCAGACTGACCTTCTTCCATACCCCTCATTGCTGGACTCGGCAGAAATCTCAGCTTAGAGTGCTTAAGCAAGATGCCTTGTACCCGAGACAAACCCCTAGGCTGCAGGCAGTAGGGCCTGCGGTGGATCTGGGAGGAAAGCATATGCTTTCTACTTTTCCTTCTTTCTGTCATATGGGAGTGACAGAGACACTACCTACTCCATATCCAGGGAACTATAGAGTGACCAGCCCTGCCCCATCCCAGGACACATGACATGAATTCATGCCAGGCGCTGCACTCCTCCCAAGTTCCAGATCTTGGTGTACTCGTGCTTAGAGTCACAAGTCCCTTCTCCATGAGCTCAGATGTAAAAGTTGTGGAAGAAGTCTCAGCAGCAATGGGAACTTACTCTTCTACTTCTTCTGCATGCTTTCTTCCTGACCTGCAAGACAAGGAAAGGCTTATGCTTAGAAAAGGCTAGAGAAAATGAAAAAACTGCACCTTTCCCTATATCACTGTTATTGTGCAAAACAGTTCCTACACCAGGTCCAACAGAACGCATTGCACCTTTAAAGAGTTCTGAGTGACCACTAAACCAGTGTATCAAAAAGTCCCTCAGTGCATCAGATTGAAGCAGAACCATTTGGATTCAAAAAGACAGCCTTGCCCAGAGGCACCAAGAGCCATACTCCCTGGTTTTTTAGCTTCTCAGATACTTTTTCATCCCCTTTGCCATCAGCTGCAGGTAAAGCTTGCCTTACCTGAGTAGAGAGGTCGGCACATTAAGGAGTGAAGAAGATGCTATACTTTGTCTATCTACCCCTGAGAGATCAAAAGGTCCTTCCTCCCCCTGGTCGTGCACAAAGATTACCTGGTCACCTTTGTAGGTTAGGAGCCCCACCTGAGCTGGCCAAGTTTAGGTCAGACATGCTGTCGCTGCAGTAAATCAGGGTTGATCTGGCTGAGTTAACAGGAGTTCATAATAATAACGTGGGGGGGAGGCACTGGCAAATAGCAGCTCCCTTGTTCTCCACCCCAGCAAGCCCAGAAGTAATTCAGTCCCGGTTAGGGACGCTTGTTCAATATTCAAAATGTAAAACATGGAGGTTGCTGAACCAGCACTTTGAAAAGTTAATTAAATGCCAGGTTTCTTTTTAGCAGATACTCCATCACTCACTGATTACTTTGGCCATTTTGCAGAGTGAAGTTTCATCTCTATGCGTTGGGAATAAATATTCTCCCCTCCCTTGAAGTCAGGGTGCCATGACAAAGAATACACGGGTCTCTCCCCTACCACATGCACTGTCCTAGGACACACCAAGAGGTAAGACAGGTTGCTTCATTGCCTTGCACTGCTCCTTTCAAAGCACTTCCATGAGGTGGGACAGGCCTCTCCTCATCTGCTCTCTGTTCTAGCAGGTTATGGTCCTCACCTAGCTCACCTGTGAATAATCTACTCTTCTAAGCGCAAGGAGCAGGGCACAGAGGATGTCTAGCTACGAGGAGAAGAAAGCCCCTTGTCTCCACTGCGGTCCGTGGAGCTTGCAGTCTGTGAGAAGCTAAAGATTACACTGAATAGGTGATCTGAGCCCAGTAATATCCACTGCTATAATCAGAACTGCAGCCGTGTAGGTGACATCTGCATCTGGGCTTTCAGCTATATCTGCACCCTTCCGTTCATCAGAAGAGACAGAAGGGCACTGGAGCTGGGGAATTTAGGAGAGGGCTCTTCCAGTGAGGAGTAATGGTCCAGCTCGATCCTTCTGCCCCGGGGCAGTGCAAAGCACTTTTTGTGAACCCCCTGATACTATGGAGAAACAAAGGGATGGCTTCAGAGAGCCCACCACCAGCTCTCACTGGAGTTTAGAATCTGAGAAGACAGAGATGGAAAGATGATGCAAGATTTATCCTATTTTATCCCTCCCTTCTGCCTTCACAGAACTGCTTCCCACACCCAGTCTTCTGAGCTTTGCCCTCACTGAGCTGAAACATCCCAAATGATGGCTTTGCACAGCCTTGCACAGTGAGATGATTTCCTGGAGGTTCAATCTAACCTCTTCTTAGCATGATTCCATTACTCCTGATAATTGTCCAGCCCCAAATAACACTCTGTTCCTCAGTACTCGCACTCCTTACATCTTTGCTCATCTCCTGTCCCCAGGCAGGAGTGAAACAGTCCACATGTTTATACTTCCCAGGAGAGGGTCACTCCTGCTATCCCTGTAAGCAATTTCTGCTTCTTTTTCCTGAGCTCCCTGTCATGACAGATATCCAGGTGGCCCACAGGGAAGGCAGTCACGTGTTAGTCCTAGAGGCAGAGACTACTTCACTCATGTTCCGAGACTTAAAGCTTTCTCAACTTTTCCTTGTTATGTTAGGAAAGGACTTACTCAGGGCAATAAGCAAATACTTCATTATGAAATAGCTGCACTATATTGGAAAAAATAGTAATTTGGGGAACAAATTCATAAAGTGGGAGGGGAGAATAGTACTGACCCCTTTAATCGCAGAGCCCAGGTGTTAAAACACTCTCCTGTCAAACAAGACAGTTCCCTTCTCTCTCTAGGGCAAGCTAAAGCCCCATGGTCAGCCGCGCCAGGAGAACACCCTAGTCCCTGTGCCACAGGGTCCGAAGGTGGCAGCAGGCGATGCCAGTCTCTCGTGCTGACAGTACTGTGGCTTATACAGAGCATTTAAATACCAATGGCACTAAGGCAGGAGCTAGAAATGACTGTTGTTCTGTTTAGGCAAGACATCTGCTTCCAGTCACCTGTACTAGATGTGCTTGTTAATATATGATTTGGAATAGCATTACGTGATGAAACTGGCATTTCAAACCAGCTGATAAGCTCACGGGTAGTGAACTATCCTGGAAATATAGTATGAAACTTCTGGAGCACAGGAAGGAATTGCATATTTTACACTCTCTGTGGCCTTAATGATTGAGGTAAAGAAAATACCAACCAGCCTACTATTTCCTTTCTTTTTTTATAAGGCTTCCTTCCATTTTGTTTGATGCCAAATTACTTTTTCATTCTTTGTTTCAGACTGGAAAATAAAATTCACAAAATATTTTTGGTTTGGTCCGGACTAATCTTTTGCTTTTTTGGCCTAATTGCGTTACCTAAATCTACCTAACAAGGTGACCCTGAGAGAAAAGACAAGCTTTGCCTTGCGTCCTAAGGTTAAAAACCTTCAAGGCAGTAAGAGAAGTCATCAACAGATCCTCAAAAGGTGCTCTATCTCCAACCCTGTCCATTCCATAAGCTTAGCTGAGGGCTAAGCTATACATGGAGATACTATTCCTGCAGAACCAATCACCTGCTTGTCTCTTTGCTCTCCAGGTGCTATGGGAAGCCCCGCAGGCATTCTTCATGAAGTTATCACACTGCTTTGAGCATTGTGGAGTACCCCTTCCTGAGAACTGGCTCAGCTTATCAATGCCAACTGCAACACGTTGAGACCAGCATTTCATCCCTCAGGAATATCAGGCCTGGCTGCACAGCATCCTCTTCGTTCACCACATGGGCACAGCTTTCTAGTGGTGAGTGAAAGCAGACATGGAAGAAAACAGACTGTAAACTCAAGCCAGCATAGACAGGTTTCCTACTCTTTTCTTCATGTTCTCGGCAACAAGGAGTGCACTGCCCTGGTTTGTTTGCGCCAGCAGGAGGCACAGCCCAGGGAGGGTGGCAACAAGCGCCTACAAAATGAGCAATTGTGTATGAACTATAGAGACACCCACTCAAGTAAGGGCAAACAAAACAATACAATCCTGGGAGCAGTGCTCAGAAATACATTCAGTCTGCTGTATTATACACCAGCCACCCCCAGTTTTTGTGAGACAGCCGTACCTCTGTTCCTTTCGTTTCTTCTGATAAGCCCATTGCATCTGGAGGGCCAAAGAACATGGACCGACCCCATCACCTGGACAGCTCCGTTTAAACTCCCTTTCACTGCAAGGCTGGCTGTGCTCCCAAACATAACCAAAATCCCAGACTATTCCCTCTGGCTTTGCCCAGCTGCTGACCCCTTGTCTATATTGGGGTGTTGAACAGCTGAGAAACTGGGCAGAAGACCCCAACGGATCCCATGTAAGCCCATGGTATGTAACTCCTAGTACAGAATACCTATTTCTCTCCTAGTTGTGTCCTGGGACAGAGGGTATAGATCTGATTTCGCCCTTGAGTGTTGTCTTTGCTCAGCTCTGGCCAGCAGGAATCCTCCCTCCACATTAATGAGAGGGGGTTCAACCTCAAAACCGAGGCTTCCCCCCCCACACCTCTAACGTACAGCTGAGCTGCCTCGGAGCTGCCTGCAACTTCTGTGCTGAAGGGTGAAAGGCAGTTCTAATGTAGACATCATCTCTGTTAAACTGTTTCTTTCTCATTTAATGGACTACCATGGAGATCTAAATGGAGATAAAGTAGCAGGGCTCAGAGAACAGCCAGGATGCTATCTTTATGCAGCATGACAATGTGCAGTGGTTAATTAGACACCGTTAACCTATTTTAGCAGGGGACATAACTGGGATGAATGGGGGGAAATGTCCTTGAAATCTTTTAATGTCCACAGCTCATGAGAGCTCTAGACACGCTTGCATCCTGCACCAAGCCACAGCCAGGTGCCAGGAGGCCAGCGTGCAAGATCCGAGCCTCTCTTCTGCGTGCCGAGGGAGGTGTGAGGGCGGGCAACACCGCGAAGGGAAAGGGAAGCAATGATGGTGGCTTGTTAAAAGGAACACTGAGGCGGCCGGCCGGGAATGCCCGGTCTAGCGCGGCGGGGGCGGCAGCCAGGACGAGAGGGCTGGG